AGAATATATCTAATTCATCTTGTGTCCTCGTCCGTATTCAGGTACCAAGAATTTCTACCTCGTAAACTCAACGTTTTAAAACCTGACAGAATCCTTCCACCTCTCTGTCTCTCTCACTGTTTATTAAGCCTCAGTAATACGGGGAGGAGTTAATGACATAACGGAAAAGATAATTGTTTCCTAAGTCCTCGTTCGTCGGTAGGAGGGAAGGCTTTTCATCTCATATACTCAGTCTCATAAACCAGACCACCTCCTCTCCCCCGTCTCCCTGCCTTACGCGTTTATTAAGCCTCGGGATGCCTGGAGGGGAATGAAAGGCAGATGATGAAACAAGTGAGAGAAGAAGAAAAGGCATCTGAAGCCTTCGTCAGTAGGTATGAAGGATCAAGATCGTACTTCCACAATAGTATATCCATCAGGCATCCCCCAAGAAAATATCAGCTTCTTCACACTCTTACAAGGCCTTGTCATGTCCGGAGGGTTGGTGGTGAAGAATGATCAAGAAAATGCCTCCCACACCTTCGGCAGTAGCGCCAGTTATCCATCTTGTCCGTCCACCAGCATTTCTCAAGTAAATCCTTCCCTCGAGCATGGAGGATGGAAAGATGTTGAAGTAAGACGTGAGAAACAAGATTATATCAAAGGTTTTCGTCAACAGTTGCCTAAAGATCCCACTTTGTGATCTTAATGTCATCCTCCTGACACTGTATCCTGCACGTCCCTGCCTCAAGCGGTGTTTATTAAGCCTCAGGATGGGGAGGATGGTGAAGGGTGAAGGATGGTGTGGGGGAACAGGGGGAATGTTTAATTTGCTCGGCTATTCATTACACCACATTCCCGACATTCAGAGGAGGAGGTGAGCAGAAGGTGTTCCGACAGTGATAGGTGTGAGGCACATGATGGCCTCCTAGAATGGCCACCACCTCCTAGTGGCCACCACCACCTTGTGGCCACCACCTCCTTAGGCTTGCATAAATTCTACACGAGTCTTAGGCCTATTGAAATTGTTTAAGCACCTTAGTAAGCCTATATAAAATACCTCTGTGCATTAGTAGTCTTTTATAAACTACCTTAAACAAGATGACACACTAAATTATTCTTGTCCTGGAGTGACCAGAACCAGAACACTACGCGTGAACATCATTGTGCTTTGATCGGGTCTCGGTAATCTCTTATATGGTAATAATCGTTTACGAGAACACAACCTTTGATATATACGGCCCTGAGAACACTGTCATTAATATAATATCCGGTCTCGATGGATGATTCACTCGGTATAATATCCGGTTTCAATGGATGATTACTCCGGTATAAGATCACGTTGTCTTTAGCTGTATATGAAGCACGAGAGTATCACAAAACAGAGATCTGGTTGGAGAAAACAACACCCAACGCATTACACGCACGCACGAGCACACACACACACACACACACACACACACTGACAGCTCTGCAGGAGAACTAGATGAGCTCATTAACCGACTTGTAGACTAACTTAATTGCACACACACAGACAGACAGCATAGCGTGTGGCCTCGTCAATTCAAACACGACTCCATTCGCCAAACAAATACATCGGCAACTTAAACATAACTACAACCGACCTCACCAACGTACGCATGACAGCCCTATGTATTCGTTAATTTGACTTGTACTAGACATTACAAATACCTGGGAAAGAAAACTGCATGACTTACCTAACCTAACCTAACCTAACCTAACCTAACCTAGCTTGACAAATTACCTGTTGAAAAAAAGGAGTAACGGTACAGTAACGGAATGTTAACGTAACAGTGACGGAATATTAACGTAACAGTGACGGTACATTAACGTAACAGTGACGGAACAGTAACGAAATATTAACGCAAAAGTAACGTAACATAAGACGAGGTCAAACTTACTCTCTAGCTTACAGCCTCGGTACAAAACAGACATGGCCACTCTCAGCCGCACCAACCTCCTATCTTACCATCAAGTTATACAATTAAACAAGTTCTCTCACATCTCTAACTGGAGGAGGGAGGGGAAAAAAAAATAAAAGAACGTAGGAGAAAAAATAAATTAACGTAAGAACCTTAGAGAATCCAGCCGCTTAAAACTGAGTGCTATTGTGGGGCGATAATGGGAGGGGTGGAGGTAGGTGGTTGGGCGAGCGGTTCCCTTGGTGATGATGGTCAGAGTTTCCTCATAAGTGAACCTGAGATCCAGTTAGCAGCCACGATGATGCTCACTTCTTGCATAATCCTCCTTCAAAACGCGAGGTTGAGGAGGATGGTGGTGGCGGCGAGGAGGGGGAGATAGAGGGAAGGAGGGGGGTAAAAAGGTAAATTGTTGTGTGAGGGGGCTCTTCTCTCTCTCTCTCTCTCTCTCTCTCTCTCTCTCTCTCCACACAGACACATTCCCTAGTGATAGAGCACAGGTAAGAGAGATGAATCAGGTGAGCGCCAATTAGCAGGTACAAGTGACTAACACCCAGCAAGAGGCTTAACCCGGCATAAACTGGTCGCTGGGTCGACGTGGGCGCCCTTGTGATTACACCGTCAACACGATACCTGAATCTTCTTCCTACCTGCCACCCTTCACCTGGTGCTAATTAACACTTCCCCGACCACTCTCCCTCAGGTAGACATGAAGAGACATGTCTGGGTGTGTCTTGCTTTATGTTGTACACACACACACACACACACACAAAACAATTAATTATTCACGCCATTGCTGGGAGAACATTTAAGGAGCCGCCGTCGAGACAGAGATATCTCGAGACGTACTCTTCTAAGTATCTCATATTCTCCGTTCTTATGGCTGGTCATCATACTTCCTCTATTATTTTTTATACTCTTTATTTAATGAGTTGTGTGTGTGTGTGTGTGTGTCGCTCGCAGCAAGAAACGACGGAGGTTCTAACGTGGTCTGACAACTGCTTGAGGGAGAAACAGACAAAAGTCTACACGTAGTGAACGGTGAGAGGATCCGTTATGATGGAGTGAGCTGTCTTGAGGCTGATGGGGGAGGGTTGCCTCTCTCTCTCTCTCTCTCTCTCTCTCTCTCTCTCTGTCTCTCTCTCTCCATGGAAAATTGATGCTCTTGCTACCTCCTCCTTGAAGGGGTTAAAAAGACTACTTGGTTTTTATCCTGTACCGTACATGTGGATGTCTGTGTCTGTGTTGGTAACTTTTAATCCTGATGGTTAAACTTGTTAACTCTTTAGGAGAGAGAGAAGAAGAAAAAAAAGAAGAAGAAGAAGAGAGATTAGAAACAAAATTGGTCAGGATTTTTGTTATGAATATTGTTGGACTGGTAGATAGTGAGAGGAAAAACCGGGCCAGTAGATTTTGACGTTATTTTGTAGCTTTTTTTTTTTTATTGAGCACCCCTACATCCTTGTATAAGGTGAAGTGCAGAAGCGTTTACAGTGCCCAACAGGGAAGCATGCTAAGTTCATGCTTGCCTTATGTCTCATGAGTTAAGGGCGTAGAAGCCTGAAGAGTCGGTGCTTTATGTCATCAAGTTATTGGAAGCTCCAACAACTTGTCCCTGAATGCGAATTCGCAACTTTCGACTTACAACAGGTACCTACTTTACTGCTAGGTGAACAGGGACTAATGGGGGCTAGGAAGTAAGTCCAAACAACTTCCACCGGTCATGTGTCAAAAGTCAAGGTCAAAGGTCAAGGTCAAATAACGTAAGTCAAATCGTAGGTCAGGGTCATAGGTAAAAATAAGGAAATTGGCTCCAGGTGGAAACTTGGGTAACTTCTCTCCTCTCCTGTCTGTCTAACTGATATAATTTTTTCCTTATGAGGGAGTATTTTTATATATTCATCTCATTGTAAAGTTATCAGACTCCTGACCACCCGCATTAACGCAGCTAGGACGAATTTTGGGTCATCCGGATTCTTACACCAAGATAAAATACCTCAAGATCCCTTCCCAGTACACATACATAGTAAAGCCGTGGTAGACTGTGTAATGTTTGTCCTGTGTAACATTAAAAAAAATGCTCTTTAAAACTCTACGTAACTCTAGAACTACTTAATAATTTCATAAAACGAAACAATAATTCTCGAATCATTCAACTTGTAGAATCAGATCCTATGTAAGAATCTCTTGCCTCTGCTGTTGTTTCCCCCTACAGGTGAGCGCACTAATTACTGTAGGCAAGGCAGGTAAGCTCTGCCACCCTCACTACTGATCCCTTCATTAACCTTTTGTTCGGCAACAGGTGATGGAGCGGAGGCGGGGGAGGGACCAGTGGCTCAGTCTGTCAATAGATTATAACTTATGTAGGGAAAGTGAGTTATCTAAAGCCCTGTATGTCTGTTCCCTGGGCGGTGTGTCCAACGGGGCGTCGTGTTGTGAGTTGCTATGATTAATTATGCTCTTGAGTTATTACGTATTTACTGAAAACTAGACTGTTATGATTATTTATTGACTGGGTATAGTCAGGGGCTCATGGCTGGTGGTAATGAGAATAGGTCTGGTCTTGTGTTTTAATATTTATTATTTATTAGTTGCAATTGTAATCAAAATGAAAAACTATAAAGAAATATCATTACAGGTTTATTGAGTGCATCAGTGAATCAATAACAACGTGGCATTCACACAACCGCTGACACACCTACTGTACTTACCTTAGTCATACACACACGCAGCGAATCAGTAACAATATGACGTATATAGAGCTGTTGGCACACCTATTTACACTCGTCATATATACACAGTAATGGAATCAACCAGCTTCATAATCATCCCAGCACAAAGCACACAAAGCTGACTTAAGCTTCTCCGAGAGCTTCACGGCTCAGTAGACTATACCATCTGTCCGTGAGTAACTCCACCTGTTGACAGTGAGTGAACGGGGGGTGAGGAGCTGCCCTGGTATTATCCATGTAGTGAACCCAACCTGTATAATTCGAGAGGCGAGGAGGACTGGTGTTGAAGTTATGTCTCTCTCTCTCTCTCTCTCTCTCTCTCTCTCTAACCAGTTGTTCATCTCTACAGGTGGTGCGGGAGGTGCGGGAGAGGAGGAGGACCAGCTCTGCCCTACAGCATGGGGGAGGTGTGCCTTGTCCTCACCTCCTGGAGCAACACACCCTGCCGGACCCCAGCCTCCAGCCCTGTGACACAAGGTACGGATCCCTCGGCTTGTGGTAGAGTTGAATTACCTGAAGCGTGGTATATCTTAGTCACACCTGGTTTATGTCCTATTCACCCTGTTTATATCATCATACACCCTGGTATATTATCATACTATATACACCCTGACATATCATACTATATACACCCTGACATATCATACTATATACACCCTGACATATCATACTATACACCCTGACATATCATACTATACACCCTGACATATCATACTATACACCCTGACATATCACACTATACACCCTGACATATCATACTATACACCCTGACATATCATACTATACACCCTGACATATCATACTATACACCCTGACATATCATACTATACACCCTGGTATATTATCATACTATACACCCTGACATATCACACTATATACCCTGACATATTATCATACTGGTGAGTACTAAACATATACGTATCATATTATGGTTAAATTATATAAAAATCTATGAAAGAGGAACAAAATGTCGATATAAAATTCCCCGCCAAAGCGTTAGTGTCAATTGACCCGGATTTTAAGGCGGTGCATTAAGTGTGGCCCGGGGCTGATGGCTGAGTGGAGTGTGTCATAAAGGATCGCTTTTAGGAGGTCAGGCGGAGAGGGGAAACTCCTTCCTGCCTCCTTCTCCAAAGTTCAAACGCCATATTATGTTACTGGCGTTTTTGTGGGGTTAAGTGATAAAGATAGATAGATAGAATTCACTTGATTATAGCCGTTATTGATCTCACATTTAACACAAGGGCTTAATCCCAATACCATATTATCGTCATTGCAACTGATGTCACTTACAAAAACACACAAACCAGAGTGAACTGATTAAAAAAAAAAAATAACAAATCTCTCCGCTCAACTTGGTGTAGATGCAAATGTGATCCAGCAAATTCGTTGCATGTTACGCCTAATAAATATTCATATATGCTAATTCCGATACTTGGTGGCTCACAGGGGTAATATCGGTTTTTTTTATTATTATTGTTAGTAGATATGTGGGTCTTTTTTTATGAATTCTGATTTGGGGGGGTTGGTACAGTAGTGAGGGGAATATAATAGGAATGAGGCGCTGTTTTACCTTTGCAGGTGAGTTAATACGGAAACTAATGATTATGTGAATTGTGTACCGTGATCAGTGTTGCTCAGGGAGGGAGAGTGGAAGGGTCTTTTGATGGTGTATGTATGTATGTATGTATGTATGTATGTGTATGTATGTATGTAGTGTGCGTCTAAGTAAGAAGATGTATATACTGTATGTAGTGTATACATATAAGCACATACATACATTCAAGTATGTGTATGAATATAAATATACGCTCGTTTAAGGTGGTGGTACATATATACAATAAATATACAAGTGTTTGTATGTAAACATATTTGTGTTACGTGTCTGTGTGTGTTTGTCTGCCTCACCAAAACGGCTCACAACGTCCTCAAACACTTATCACACACACACACACACACACACACACACACACAGAGCTCCTCTTTGGTCTCCGTGTCACAACAGTCTGGCGTTAAGCTGACTCTCTGGGTTCTGACAGCCTCTGATATGTGGCTTCTCGTAAACTGTAAACAAAATAAAGTTTCCAGTATAGTTTTCCCACTAACTTGCGGCATAACTTGTCTGGAAGGTAACTCTGGTTGTCTTGGGTCGGACCAGGTTACTATAAGCTTTAATGGTGAGGTATTCTGGATCAACAACAATTATTTATCATTACCGACTCATTACACACTGAGTCGAGATTCATAGTGATTCGTGATTTTTTTCTTTCCTTTAAGAGTGAAAATAAAAAAAAAGTAGGTTCTCAATATGGTAGAGTTGCAGTGTAAGTTCGACGGCATTAAGATTATTGTATTCGTATCTTGATTCCTTCAGATGCGTCCTAACGTCTCTAGTTAGGGGAAATAATAACGTGCGAAACTTTTAAGGATTCATCTAGTGTCGCAGTTGAAGAGAATCATTTAGATACGTTTTCACATCTGCAGATAAATACATAGCCATTCTCATAATTATAGTTAAGGGTAAAAATTATACTTAAGAACCTCTGAGAATCCCTCCTAGTATCTTAATCTAAGAGAACAAGTTAGATACGTTGACATACAGTATATCTCAGGAGGGAGAACCCTTAACTCAGGAGCTTCATCACAAGTCTTACAATACTCTAGAGTCTAGACCATGATGAGGGAAATACTATCACATTAAAACAACAACAACAATTTCTTCCCATGAACTGAAACACCAAGCTGTATGTTTCAGTATATGTTTATAGTTCCAGGTCGACCTTCCAGTTTATTGGCAGTCTTAGATTCAGTTTCAACTACAGTTAATTATCGGTTCTATATTCGACTAACTCTCTCTTTCAGTTTCAAGTAGTTCTAACTTTAGCTTTGGTTTCATCGTCGTTGTCTCTGGTGTCCTCATCAGTTTCAGTTTGACTCGGCTGAGAAGGGGTCGGGCTGCAGGCTGCCTCGGGCGGTGGGGAAGTTGTTGGTCAGGTGAGGTCAGCCGGAAGAAACTTGTCACACCAAGTTGGGTCAGAGTTGGTTTACCAAGTCGAGATTAAAGATAGTTCCCTAACTTATCCTTTCGTGGGTGGAGGGGGGATGGCAGCAGCACTTACTTAGGATGTGGGGAGAGATTTGACCCGTGTTGCAAAGTATGAGAGATGAAATATGATTCGTGTTGCAAGGTATGATTGGCGAAAAATTGAAGGCACTTTTCAGACTCAGATTATGGCGCGGCGGCCGAGTGGATGCAGCACTCTCCTTGATCACGCTAACGTCAAAGCCTCTCCCAATCCACCTAACTTTACAGTTGGGGAAGTGAAGGCGGTCGATTGCTGTATCGGCCATACTGCCTCCTTGCGTAACAAGGAAGGTTTGCTGTAATATGTTCTGTACCATTTCTGTATCTAACGTCAGGCCTACGTGCCCTTTTTCATAGATTATGACAACAAGAATGTTTCTCTACCGTGTGAGACCAAACAACAGAGGAGACGCTCACTGCAGACGTACAGTTAGCTCGGTATACAAATCATCCAAATAGAAACAAACAAACAAACAGGCCTGTATATCCTTCAATTTACTCCCTGTAATAAAACGAAGGCTGCAACCTCAGGTCAGGTATTTCTTAAAGCTGTGGGTTCGAACTCCCAAACATTCGTACTCTAGTTTTTCTCTGAACAAGAGATGAAAGAATACATCCAGCGACGGTAAAGTCATCTCGGTGCTGTGGGCGACGTGACCAGTTAGGACTGTTCTTGGTCTCCAATTACGGGAGAAACTTGACGTACGAGTCTTTGTAAACTCGGGACCTGGACTGAACAAGACCAAGAGGCACCGAAAATTTCCATCACCACAAGTCCTCCCGGTCGTAAAGTGAATCACTGGAATTTCTTCAGCGTGTGAGGACGAGGGTACAGATAACAGTCGCTTTGGAGCGCCGCGCCCCTTCCATAGTACAGCGCCAGGACGAGCAATCAATAGCGCCAGCTCAAGCAATCAACAGCGTCAGCACGAGCAATCAACAGCCCCGGCACGAGCAATTAACAGCGCCAGCACGAGCAATCAACAGCGCCAGCACGAGCAGACAACCGCACCAGCATGAGCAATCAACAGCGCTTTGTATTCCATCTCGCCTCACAATGAAGCGCTTGCGGTGTTAACGCCTGACGAACATCCACCCGCCCTTTCTACCCTCAGTGATTCTCTTTCAATGTCGAGAGTATGATAGTTGTCGCCAGTGTGGAGTGAAGCAATGACCGCGGTGTGTGTGCGCGCGCGTGTATGTGCGTTTGTTTTGCGCGTGTATGTGTTCCGTCGTTGGTGATCCCCGCCTCCGTCCACTGATTGAAAGATCGAAGAAAGGAGCCCTGGTGTGGTGTTCTGGTCCCTGGGATAAAAGAATTTTACGAACGAGAAGAGAGGAACGATGATTCATGACAGACTTCTCTCACACACACACACACACACACACACACACACACACACACACACAATCATAATTTATGCTCCCAAACATAAAAAAACAAACTCAAAATATCGTCCACATGAACGGTGAAACTGACCGAAAACACGAAAAAACAACACAACGGACACCTCTCACCCACACGGAGAGAAACAAGTAAATAAAGTCTTGAATATTAAGTTGTATACCTCGCGACCATGGATCACTGCCTCTGATAACATCTTAAGAATGTCCATTTCCCTGAGGAGGCCTTCAACCCCCCGTTCTTCATAACCTTCCCACTCAAAATATTGTTATTAGAAACTCAGATCTCATTTCCAGATAAAGTCAAAAAGTCGTCTGGCAGTTGAATTACGACAGAATAATACCACGAAATAGATTTCCACTTGCGCTTTAAGCTGTCAGTATGTTTGATTTGCAGCCGAGGTTTTGAGATAGCGACGCCAACTTGGTCCAGGCAAACAAAATCATTTCCCCAATGTCGTGTAGATGTTGTGTTGCTCAGGTTGGTGCAGGAGAGCTCGGGAATTCGATATATGTTGTGTGCGTTTATAACATTTCTGAGTCTGCAATAACGAAACTTTTTAATGAATGCGGCAAATGTAAACAAATAATCTTGTTGAGACACTATCCAGCTACAGTGTAACCAGTGCTAAGTCCTGAGTCACTATCCCGAGCAGTAAACAGTGCTAAGTCAATGAGTCACTATCCGGGTACAGTGTAAACAGTGCTAAGTCCCTGAGTCACTATCCCGGGTACAGTGTAAACAGTGCTAAGTCCCTGAGTCACTATCCCGGGTACAGTGTAAACAGTGCCAAGTCAATGAGTCACTATCCCGGGTACAGTGTAAACAGTGCTAAGTCAATGAGTCACTATCCCGGGTACAGTGTATACAGTGCTAAGTCAATGAGTCACTATCCCGGGTACAGTGTATATTAAGTCAATGAGTCACTACCCCTAGTATAGTGTAAACATTACTATCATGTACTATCATGGTTCACGGCGTCGACCA